CTCGAACCTGGCTCTGATACCAACTGTAACACCCCCAACATTTTCCACGCATAAGTTGATCAGGCTTATACACGAAAAACGAGGGATATCAAAAACAATTGGCAATATACAAGCATAGAATACAAAATGATGATAATAAAAGAATTTAGACAGGAAAGGAACACTAAATAATACAACATCCATCCATCCTTTATTTAATACAGTACTTCATTACAACTTGGAAATCCTATGTCAAGGATCCCTAAATATAACCCTGAGAGTTCAACGTCAAAAGTAAATAAAAACTGAAACTGAAGTAATACATAAAACTTCTACCCTGAACTGGATCGTAAGAGTAGATGAGTTCGGATGGTGGTCCCTCACTGCTAACCTCAACCTTGGAACGGGTACTGACCGTATCCTGAAATAACAACAATGGTGGGTCAGCCCCACGAGCAAGTCCTCTCTACTATGACCCAAATCAGAGAATCAAATAAATTAATCATTATGAATCGGATGAGTACTATATCTGTATACATCCTAAGGGAACATCCAATGTATAATATGACCTCAACCAGAATAGACGGTGATCACTTAGACTCACACTAGGTGGTTAAGTGTCGCCTTTCCCTACCCGGGAAATCAGCTATTATACATGGTGCACGGTACTGACAACACAGACTATAACGAACTACACAGTGATAACACTTCTCAAAGTACTGATGAATATACCGAGCATACAAATTAGGCAACACATGCCAATAATATTATTAAATATACTGAGCATGTCAATTAGGCAACACATGCCAATAATATTAAACCACATACCCCGACAGCCACACATCTGTCTATAGCAACGAATGCATAAGGTATAAATGAGTCTAAACTTATTAGCCAGCTCATATGGTTCTATATGGCAACACATCCATATAATATAAATGCGACATAATTAAATAGTCCATTTATTTCCTGAAATGCACACAGCATAATAATCATGGTTTATATATCATTTAACAGTATAAACATCCCATAAGATATCATGGATAATTTATCTGACTAAAACCATGGCATTATTTAATTTAACAGTAATGTTTGATACCATTTAATAAGATAATAACACTATTTATATTTAACAATGTCGTTAAATAAATCACATTAGTATCCGTACTGTGAACGAGCCAATAAATGTTTAAAAAAGATTAATCGGCCATAAGAATAAGTAACGGGTATTAAAATAATAATTTCGTGGCCCGTTAAACCCGTAAATACCAACACAGTACCTAAAAATCCAAGTTTAAGGTTCTGGAATTTACAAAACAGGCCCTAGGGGTATTCTGGTAATTTCCAGCAGCTGTAGAGACCCCACACGCGCCCTCACGCGCCTCCCAGAGCCTCCCCACGCGCAGCCTAACCTTCCCCACTCTCCCACGCGCCTCCACGCGCGTCTGGCATCAGCCACGCGCGCGCACGCGCTCCCACGCGCGCACTAATGCATCCTGATGACGTGGCTCATCCTAATTCGTTGGCTGCATCATCCTACTATGGGCGCGCTACACTGAATCATCTCACCCTCTCATCACTCAATCCTATGCTTATAGATCCGAGTATACCGCGGTAACATGGACCGCGGTGCACCGGATCAATCGCTGCTGTTTAATGGTCCAGATGCGCGCGCATACCCTCCTATGGTGCGCCGCATCACACCGGATCACTCCGGTCATCTCCCCCATTGCCGGCGACCGGAAAACTCGCCAGAAGGTCGCCGGAAATTGCAGAAAAGCCCCGGAAAAATCTAGAAAATTCTAGAAAAATCCCTAAAGCTTTATTTAATTATTTTCGGCCATTATTAATTTCATAGGATATTAAATAAATATATACCATCCTATATAATTAAAATTTCATTAATTTAATAAGATAAAATTTATAATTTATTAATCTACTAACCTTGGCTCTATGCATACAAATAAACTAAACAATTAATTTATTAATTCAAAGGGGAAAAGTAGATAATAACTTGCCTTTTTGGATTTAAAATGAATCCGCCGGTTACGCGTAGTCGGGTAAATTTCTCCTATACCGGTCCAAGCTCCTTTCTTTCTCTCTCACCTTTCTTATCTTTCTTTCCTCTAACAACAACTCTCTACTATTTTAAATTGGTTTCTAACTTACCTTCTCATCAAACTAACTGATATTTATACAAATTAAAATAATATAAATATTACAAATATCTAAATTTACATTAAACTCACCACATTCCCAACCATATGGCTTCAAGTCCTACCTATAAATATTAATGAAATCATATCCTAATCTCTAATTTCATCATGACTTATGATTTAATACTATTATTATTATTATAACTATTATTATTATTATAACTATTATTATTATTATTAATAAACTATTATAATTAATATTATTATATTATTATTATTATTATTAACTATTATAATTATTATTATTACTACATAAGAATACATTATATCATCATAATACTTTATAACATAAATATAATACTTTAATTAACTAATATTGCTTAATTAAACATAATCAACAAATAAAATTGTTAATAATAATACATGCACAATTAAATGAATAAATTTACTATTTTAACATATAACAATGTAGCATGCACAATAATAGGTAAAGAAATCCACATATAAATGAATTTAAATAAACTAAACTTTTTAATAAAATACGGGGTATTACAATTATAGTGCTGGCACATCTAGAGGGTGCCAGCACGACCCTAGGTGGATGGGGGTGTCATCCATCATCTTAGTGGGCAGTTATGGGCGGTTTTGAGAGTAGCCTATATAATGCTAAGGTGGGCTTTGTAGAGGGAAAAGAGAGGAGGGTGTGAGCCTTGGTTCCTTGTACGAACTCATGTTCCTTTGTTATATGTTTAATATGAGCAAAGGTTGGGGCCTGTCCCTGTAAACTGTGTGCCTTCTTTACATTTCTATACTGTGTGTATTGTGTTGTTGTGTTAGCTGAGACTTGGTGGCCCCAAGTACCATTACAGAAGCAAAAATTTGTGGAGTAATTTAGCCCTGTAATAGTCAATGTGTATTGACAAAATCTAAAAAAAGTCAATGTAATTTACCCTCTAATAAAAAGGTACTCCAACCAACCAGCATCTTCTAGCCATTAAATTCTAAACCTTAACCAACTATACTATTATCGAGAAATGCCAAATGGATCGAAGTTTATAGCGAAATGTTTAATCGATGGTCTTTGGACCCTTAAATGCACCTTGATGAGTTTCACATAAATCCCACTCATGTGCCAAAGAGCGCAAGCACAAAAGCGAAAAAGTTTAAAGATCTAATTAATTAAAAATCGCACTTATTTCGGTATGAATAAACCCCCCGCCGTGGGGGCCGCCCGCACGGCGGGGCCGCCCGGGTACTCCGATATTATGTACACATGATCATATTATATTCAAATCCAATGGACTTGGCTTTGTGGAGATGGTACAAAAGGTGGGCACTTCACTTTTTTGTTTTGGGTGACCCCATGTGCGTGTCCTTTTTGACCAGCGCATTGACCGTATAATATATTCCCTGTTAACCAACCAGAGTGAAGAGATTTACTGATGGAAAGAGTGATCCTTCCTTTGCATTTGCGAAGAGATTTACTGATAGAAAGAGTGATCCTTCCTCTGCATTTGCATGAGATTCCCTAAACACCCATCATCATTACAATCCTCTTTATTCCTTCCTCTCCTCTCTCTCTCACACACACATATTACTTTCTCCAGAATCAATATATATTCTCTCATCATCAACCCTCGCCACATTACACGCAAACACCAATATAGCTAGAGAGACAAACAAAGTGATTTTGTATATAAGTGTGTGTGTGTGTGTATATATATAGGTCATATTTCTACTAGAATGAGAGGGTTGTGTATATATACACAGTTACACACAGTGACACACACATAACCAGTGCATGATGTATGCTCAGCTCCACTGTAAACTTTACGCAGATGATCTTAGACATATGTTCTCAATTAATATATTATTATTCTACACATATGGATAGTGACCAAATTAATATTAGTATATATTTGTATATATTCTTAACAATAGGCAGTTCTTATGATATATATACTCGAGTTCAAATGTAAATAGTCCGTAAATTGCATATTGAACCAATTAACAAATTAACCAGGGTGAACATCTAACAGTAAAGAACAGCCAAACAATTTAAGAAAAAGAAGTATTTTACTACTAATTCTTGAAATCAATGGGCATAACATATATGATGAAATATGATTTAGTTGTGTTGAAATCTCTTTTCAGCACTATTACTTCGAGCTTGAGAAGCAATGGTGTTGAAAATAGAAATAATGGTGTTAAAATCTCTCTCAAACTAAATCATGTTTCAATACTTCTACCATGAAGTGATGTTTTGAAATTAATTTTTTTTTGCAGTGTTGAAATCTCTACACGTACTCTTTCTTTGTTTTTAAGATATAAAATTTGATCCACAGAAATTCAAACTGCAATGTTGATATGCTCTCTCTTTCTTCTCTCTCTCCCTTCTTTTACTTTCTCTCTACTCAGAACTAAAAGTGTTGCATGTTTGAAAGGAGATCGGAACCGGGGCTCCGATAAAGAGTCTTGTAAGGCCCGAATCTAAACTAAAAGTGTTGCATGTTCGAAAAAGTGTTGCAACTTGCAACTTTAAAATTAGGGTTGAAAGGAGATCGGAACCCTAGACTCCAATAAAGAGTCTTGTAAGGGCTGGATCTAAACTTAAGAAGGTGAATAAGTCTTATATATAGAATGGTTTAGCAAATTGACTAATATTCTCAAGAGAGCTCCTTCATAAGAAGAGCCATGGGTTCTTTATATTTAATCAATGAATTTAGACAATTTTTTTGAAATCTTTAAAAATTCATATGAATCATTTAGTACATATTTTAATTTATTGATTAAAATGGAGAGTTTACAGTGAGAGGGGAGCTCTCTTGAGCATTACTCTACCAAATTTTAATTGCTAAAGTAATGAAAATAATGGTCACAGTTTTTTATGTGAACAAGTACAAGCAAATTGAATACACATAAGAGAAAGAAGGATTAGAAGCTAGGTTAATTACAATTCCCAAAACCCTACATACTCTTAGTTAACTCTTTGATGCAGATCGATTCACTAAATTCATCCTCGAGTTTCCTGTCACAAGAAGAAGATTGGTTCGTCAACAAACTTTGCTCCTCGAGAATCTGCTTCTCTGCGCTAGGTAGCGATCGGTCTCAGCCACTACTCATCCCTTCAATCGGCGGATTGAATATTGTGTTGGATTTTCCAGTTGTAAATAATACACAAAAATATATGTCAGAAAAAATATATTGAAGAACACTCACTAATACAGTAATACTACATATATGAATATGATGAATGCAAATAAAAAATTTGATGAAACTTAGAACTGAATTGGAAAATCTGAAGCAGGAAAATTACACCAATACTAAGAGCTGGAGTTCCAAATTGAACTAAAGGTGATGCAAACTCGAATTAAATATGATGCAATTATGAACTAAAGGTGGTGCAAACTCGAATTAACTAAAGACCTAAACTAAAAGCAGTGCAAATTCAAACTAATTAAAAGTGCTTCAACTTTGAAGTAATGGTGTCGCAAACTCGAATTAAAGGTGTTGTGTAATCTCAAACTTGAACTAAATGTGTTGTACTATTAAGTTGCAAAACTTGAACTAAAGAATTAAGAGTACTCAAAATGCAATTTTATTCTCATGTGATTTAGTAAAAGATTGCATATATATCAAAATCGATCTTGTGCGCACAGGAGAGAATCCGGATCCATGAACTAAACATACCACATGTTATTCCTATCCCATATCAAAATTAAAAATGAATATATAAACCTGAAAATACCTAATATTCTGAATAAAATAATGAAAATAAATAGTGTATATATATATATATATATATTTAGATGGTCACATAGATTATATATATATATATATATATATATATACACATACGTCTAATGTATGTAACAAGATTGTAGAGCAATCCTTAGTTTGTACTAACTTTTATGCTGTCATTGTGTATGGTTTCAATGTTTCATTGGAATATGGGTAACAAGATTGCTCAGGTTCCTTGTTACCCGTACACTGATCCAATGTCAGCTCATGGAAAAAGTATGTATGATACCTTCTTCCGTGGAATATTTATCATTATCTCTCTGGCAATATATAACATAACAACACATGATAAGAGTTAAGAAAGAAAACCATAAGAGGTACCAATGGAGAAGAAGATTGTCACCTGGTTCACATTCCATTGATTGAACATGTATCTTTGCAAAATTACACTGTTGCCCTTGTACGCGTTGTCTTCATAAAATGGCTATAATACCCTTGCACATGTCATTTGCATCATAGTTAATTTATTTTAATTCCATATGAATGGAGTCGCCAAATAATATATGTACAAATATAAAAATATGCTTGGCTCCTCATACGCCATCCACGGAGGCCATCGATGAGCCGATGGGGCTCTGCAAATGGCATACAGGGAGCCAGGCATATATGTACATATGCTATACATGTATTAAGTATGTATCTATGAACCTATGTATGCATGCAAAAACTTGAGTTATGTATGCCTATATTTGTGGTTAATTACAGAAAAGAGATCTGTATGCATACAAAATTTACAAATGATAGATGTTATGGAGGCCGGTGCAAGAGAAAAAGTTGTTAGAACATGGGTTTTTAACCTAAATTCCTTCCCCCATGATTCATGAAGGTGAAATTGAAAATGAAGCAGTGAAGAATCAACTTAGTATTGACTGTGAAGATATTTAAGGAGATAGGGATAAATGTTTTTGTGTGTGTGTGTGAGAGAGAGAGAGAGAGAGAGTGAGAGAGAGAGAGAGGGGGGGGGGGGGGGGGGGGGTGAAGGGGGAAGAGATATGGAGGATCAAACTGGGACCTAATGAGCAAATGGATCTCTAACTCTAAGCCCCACATGGCTCTCTTTATTTATTCAAAAGGAACCTACCCTTTTGAATTGGCTTAAAATAAGCATGACCACACAAACAAGTGTCTAAGCATCAGAGTGTCTGCTATTAATCTATGTGGGGTTTGTATGTGATAAAATTGAGAAGTAAAAAAAAAAGGAAGATGTGGGGTTAGAGTTTGCACACAGTTAACCCTAAATATAGAAGACAGAGAGAGAGGAAAAGGGGGTTGTGTTACTAACCACGCAATTTCCTAAGCTCTCTCTGATGATGTTTGAAATCTCCTTTTCTGGGTGTGAAAGCAAAGGTTGCTTTTCTCTTCTGAAGCTCCTTTGTCAGAAGGGAGTGTTTGGCCGACATGGATTCCTCAATCACTAGCTACTTCTTTAAATAAACAAAGTGAAAAATAATAATAATAAAAAAAAAAGGGCAAAACCATAATGTGCCTTCTTTTTCTTTTTACTTTTTTGTTCTTTCCTCCATCACTTCTTCTTTATCTTCCTTTAATTTACTGTATATTATATATTAGTATATTACTACCATATTATATATATATATATACATATATCTTTCTGTAGGACTATGGTCAGTAGCCTCAAATGTACATTTACCACGGAACAAAATGTTACAGCAATACTAGTTGTAACCTTGTGTGGTTTTTCTTTGAATAGTCAATATCTTCATGAGAATCTTTCGCTGTCAAGATAAGGCCATCAGTAGGGGTTTTTTTTAGGGTCGACACCAACACAACATATATGACAGTCAAGGTTCCTAAATTATTTGTGTCTACCCTACGCTCACCTTAGACTTTACCTATAATCAGTTCATACCTTACTATACATTTCCCTTCATTCTTTCTTCAACATATAGGATTTCAAGTTAGTCATTATATATATATATATATATATATATATATATATATATATATATATATATAACAGTAGCATGCTTTTAAAGTTTGTATTATATATATATATATATTCCTCCAGATGGTTTAACTAACTAGCTAGTTTCCTAGGCTTTTGTAACTGAAGCTAGATGGGCACAAATTTGAGATTCTGCAGAAGCATTTACATTTAAGATTATAAATATTCATTTTATCTCCAAATGAAAAAATAAATAAATAAAATAAACATTGATTTTGGGAAGTCATCAAACTAAAAGTGTTTGAATCCTCTATTGTACACATTATTTTACATACACTGTAAATAATGGTATTGAAATACAATTTTATTAAATTTGTTAGTGTATTGAAGGATCCCAAAAATCATAACAATAATATTTGTTCGCCTTCTTTTCGACTTCATATGATTATTTAAAGATTTTGCCAGAAAACCAAGAAAGAAAATAATGAAGAAAAAGAAATACAATTTTATTAAATTGTGTAGTGTTTGAATCCTCTATTGTACACATTAAATAAAGCGTCAATCAGACGTGGTAAGATTTTTAATTTCTTCACCATAGATGCTAGGACGAGACACACAAATAGGAAGGCATGCAGGAGATCAAGATTAAGTTGCATGGGTGATATAGATTATGTATTTGAAAGATAATTATAGGAACTTTTAAGGTAATTTCTAAAGTATATGTGAAATTTTAAAAAATAAAAATCAATCAAGTTCATTTAACTTGAGTTTTTGAATCACCATATATAAAGTTTTTTAGCCAATTTAAGTATTTGAAGTACTAATATTATATATATAAAACTGGGGTATGTTTGTTCCATGATGCTGTTAACTTTAAGTCTTAAAGACATGTCAATATTACGTGACACTAACAAATTAAGACAAGTCTTTTACTTGTCATATATAGAGCCAGCACTGTATATACGATATGACACAAGTCTTGTAGTACATCTCATATACACAGCTAGCATGAGATCGATTTGAGGTTCACGGGTTTTAGTAAAAGAGAATGAAATTTAAAAAAAAAAAAAAAAAATTAAAAAGGAAAAAGTTATTTTAAGAAATTGCTAGATGAAAATCACATACGAAGACATGGGCCATGGCTTAGAAGAATATGCTAGAGCTAACATATTTTTCCGTAGGATTAATGAGAGAGGAGGGCTTTAGGACCCATTGGCATTCTTAATTATTGAGGTGTGGATGTGTCTAAGAGAAGTTGATTTGTCCGGGTATATATCAAAATTGTTTAAAACTCTATCATAATTATAACTAAGAGTATGTCGGATGAGTGGCGCCAAAATATTCTAATACCTATATATAAAAATAAATAGGTATACAAAGTTTATTATTGATGAATCAAACTATGAAACTTCAGTTAGGAGAGAGTGATTGAACAACGCCAAAGACAAGATACAAAAGTACTCGTTTGGCATGCGTTATCATATTGTTTTTTTTATATTGGTATCCAAATTTGAGTCCATATCATGTTTGAGATGACTGATATTGGTTTGGAATAGTTTATAATATATTAGAGTTTTTGGCCCAAACCTATTGGTGATATTGTGTGTTTTGATATTATAGCGGAGAAACTCAAGCAAATTTCCAAATTTTCCAAAACAAATTTTCCGTTAGGATCAACGTTAAGTCTATACTACCATTAACCAAAATAAATAAAAAAATAAAAAAATAAAAAATAAAAAAACACACATTAAGTCTATACCTTTTTGCCTTGGTTATGGATGAGCTGACAAGACAGATCCAATATGAGATTATGCATACATGTTATTTGACAATGATATAGTTTTAGCTTATGCTACTAAAGAAGGAGTTAATGCCAAATTAGAGGTTAATTTGGAGAGAAGCTTTTGAGGGTTTAAGATAAGTTGAAATAAAATTGAATATAGAGTGCAACTTTAGTAAATCTAGAAAGACAAATGATGATGCAGTAGGGGATTGAGAATCAAAAGGTACAAAATAGTTAACATTTTCATTCTATTTAGGCTCGATTAGTTATAACGAGGGAGAAATTAGAAATTACGTTAATCATAGAATCAAGCTATGGGTTAAAAAGTGCATCTAGTATATTATAGGTGTATTCTCTTACGATTAAAAGGGAAGTTTTATAGAACAACTATTAGACCAATCATACTTTATGGTACCGAATGTTGGACATCTAGAAAATAACATTCGCATAAAGTAAGTGTGACAGAAATACAAATGTTGAGGTGGATGTCCAATAAGACTGGAATTAAAGGATATGATTAGTAATTATCACATTCGGGAGATGGTTGGAGTAGCACCAATTAGAGATAAAATGAAAAATCAGTTAATAGGGTTTGGACATATGCAAAGAAGACCTTTAAGTGCGTCTGTTAGGAAAAATGATATAGTCGACGTTGAGGGTAATACTAGGGGAAGAGGAAAACCAAAAGTTAACATGGGTAGAGTTTATTTTTAGTTAAAGGGTAAGCTTGTATATAGAGATAAAATAATGTACATGGAGCCCCAAGAAGGGGAAAGAAATATGAAAATATTAGAACCAAAGGCATTCCAATGAAGCCACTATAACCCAATCCTAATTAAAGCATGCTAAAACTGCCACCTAACAGAGGAAAACAAAATGAGAGAACAATAATCTAACCAACAGATCACCTCCCAATTTCAACAGTACAAGTAACAAAGTATATATAGCTCCAATGTAATAACAACTTAGTAAACAACACTATCCTTATGACACTAACCAAGAGTGTCCACAAGTATTGGAACATGCATGAAACAAAAAGATTATGAAGATCAGGTTCACTTGAGATTAACTTTAGGCCTAAACTCTTCCTTAGCTTGATGGAAGCAAGCCTTGATCTGATGCAGGTCTTGATCTGTGAAATGATGTGATGTGGAGGAGATGAAACATTTCTGAATGCCCTTGCATTCCTCTCATGCCAAATGAAGTAGATTGTCGCTTATCAAAATAGCTTGTGTGTCCTAAAACCTGTAGAGTTCTAGTGAGATGAGCACCATTGAATCAAATCTGTCAAGCAGTTGGGAAGGACATAGAACCCAACAATTTCCTGAATGAATCCCAATATATGTGAGCTGAATTTGCACTCAAAGAACAAGTGGTCCATGGATTCACATCCAGTAAGACATGTAATATCTATTGATATAATGCTTATGGAGCATTGGTTTGGAGTCAAGAGTGTACAGTCTTCCTCTTATACAGCCAATCGTGGTATGCAGCTGTGCCTTGGTATGTGGTGTTTGAACCAAACTAAGTGGTACCAGACAAAAATTGGAGATGGAGGGATAAAATATCTGATGTTGTGGGAGAATTAATGAAACACCCTGTAGGACTTGGCAACCATTCAATGTTGTCTTTTTCCACAGATGGTGGAGGCAGAGAATGCAGCTGAGAGATGAAGTGAATGGACGGGAAGAATTATGGAAATTACAGTGAGAGGGGTACCATTCAATGATTATTGAAAATTAGACTATTAACTGTGGTATATGTGTCTAATTGCAGAATTTACATATTATTTAGTCCTAACTGCTTAACAATATGATCATTTGGTAACCAGAAGTCCAACCACATCATGGTGCCAGTACCATGATATAGTAGCATGTAGATTAATTGGGGTTATGGTCTTAAATAGAGTGGAATGAAAATGTAAGATTTATGCAGTCGATGCCAAGTAATTGAAAAAAAAGGCTTAATTAGTTGTTGTATGAGATTTGAGGTATTCCATCCATTTAATTAATTATTTGTCAATTGAATGTTAAATTCCCAATCTTCATCCTAAAATTGGATATTAATGAATGTGCATGCATTCAATATAGGAGTAGATATTGAGTGAATCATGCATGTCATGTTAAGAGGCTTCAATCCCATTGCAATGACAAGAATGGACTTTTTCATGAAGCAATGAGGGCTTTAATTTGTATTAACAAATTAAATACAAATTAAAATTGATTTAATTTATTAATGTTAA